ACAAGCAGACTAAAAAAGAGGCACAGCTGCCTCTTTTAACATATTGTTAAAATAATAACTTTAAAACTCTAAAACATATTGTTAAAATAATATAACTCTAAAACATATTGTTAAAATAAAGTAAAAGAGATCCCAGAAAAGCATACTGCAGACATGCTGAAAATCAAAATCATAATCCCCACAAGTAATCCCTATTGTAGCCCTGTAGTATGCTAAAAAAATTTAATTAATTAGTATAAATAAAAAATTAAACTAATTAATATAACAAAATACCCCATTTAACATTTATCAATAATTGAGGATATAATACAGAAAATCAAATGCACACTACAAAAAAAGGGGGGGCAATTCTATATCTCCCGTTCTACTGGGCCAATTAAAGAAATTCAAATTGCGTTTTCCATGTCTTGAAAGCGCGACTTAGGATATATATCAGATTTATATATAGCATTGTTCTAACATAGGTATTTTGGCACAAAATCTTACTTTTTCTGAAATGACATGCCAAATATTTTCCATATTTCGATTCTACGACTCAAATTATGTCTAGATATTAAATTTAGTAATTTTTGGTGAGAAATTTAAAAATATATATATTGGCACTTTTTTTTTTAGTTTGTGCCAAGAATAATTCACTTAGCCAACTTCTTAATTTATTTTTCTTTCCTTTTTTTCATTATCCACAAGCGGGAAAAAAATTTCATTGTTCATACTTTCAAATAATTTTAACAAAGTGCATAAACCACATTTTCGTTATAATGGCTTCTAAATAAATATGCCAAAATGTAAATCCACGTATATCTTACGAAATTTTGACTACAAAACTCTAATTTTTTGCATGTATGCTTAGAAATACATTTACTTTAAGGAGACGGCAAAAATTTTATCGGTTATAATTCAAATTTTTTTCTGAAAAATTTATAAATATTATTTAAAAATACAAATTCAAAAAATAAATCATACAAAAAAGCGAATTTTATTTGGAATGAACCTAAATTTTGAAATATGAAATGAAGACTCAAATAAGTTTAATAAAAGAGATATTAATAAATATATATCAAATTGAATTAACATTGAGGAGCTAAAATTTTGAGAGCTTATTTTTTAAAAACTACTAGTGTGATTTTCGCAAAACTCAGCAGTTTGGCATAATTTGAGTTGTAGAATCGAAATATAGAAAAATATTGGCATGCCATTTCAGAAAATTGCCTCTTTTAGCAAAACACTTAATCCAACTCAAAGAAATTATAATGATATCAAGAAACAGAGTCTAGCAGTCTTGTTGGCCATAAAAAAATTTGAATGTATTTTGGCAAGGAAACTGTTAGTGAATATAAGGGCCATGTGGCAACTATATATCTGTATCCTAGGGAGTATTTGTCACTCCCTCCCCACATATATGGACTCTTAAAGTACCAGAATATACTTTAAAATTTAAACGCATATTGAAGAAAATGTTGCAGCAGATGCCTTATCATGAAAAGCTAGATAATGAGTAGAAAGAATAAAGATGTACAATGTTGATTTCAAAAATTTTAGATTCACGAGAAACAATAATTTCAGGACTACAAGGAGACCCAGAATTCAAAAATATCCACACACATATTTAAAAGATCACAAACACTTTCAACATCATGACACAACAGGAATAGGAACAGGGTTGCAAACTATGAAATCATTTATAACCTTCTCCTCTAGTCAAAGGAAACAATTAAGAACAACGACTGGTTATCTCAGCAAGTTTAAGATTAAATATTTTACATGAACTGCATGATTTGCCTTTATCAAGTCATCTCAGAGTAAGAAAAACAGTCCAGAAAGTAAGGAAAGCTGTTTATTTTTAAAAGCTATAAAGATTTGCAACTGAATATGTCACGTCCTGTAACACTTGCTAATTAATGATATTAATTTAAGGCTGGCTGGGTACCTAAATAGCATAAAAGTTGCATTCGCTAATGAAATAGTAGAAATTGATCTCTTAGGCCCTTTCCCACGGAGTGAAAAAAATTGATATTTACTCATGATTGCTGGTCATATTTAAATTGGGTAGAAATAATTCTGCTCCGAAGGGTGTCTGCAAAAATTGCTGGACATTCATTTTTAAATATATTTATATTTAAGTATAGAGCTCTGATAAAAAGAATCTCGGATAATGGTAAGCAACTCATATATCAAATTTTTGACAAAATGTGTAGAGGCTCTTGGCATAGAACAATTTAAAATGGCCCCTTATCAACCCCAGTCGAATATCGCAGAGTAGGAAAAGAAACATAGTTAAAATTATCCACCACTGTGTAAGAAATTACCACTAGTGCTCGGATAGCTGTGTTAAAGAACTAGCTTTTGCATTAAAATTCACCCAACATGATACAACTGGTAAGACACCACCTAAAAACAATTCCTTTACAGGACAAAGGATTATGCCTCTCAATAACTTTCTATTTAAAAAATTGTTGGACGAATTTAAGTTGGCAGACATTTAAAAATTCATGACTGAGGCAATGGGTAATTCAGATATGGCATGGGCAAAACAAAATTTTATTATGATAAAAAGAGGTGTAAAACTGATTTTAAGGTTCGAGAAAGTGTTTTAAAAAAGAAGTACTCCTTCTTGTGCACCAGAAGGAAATGTGGGAAATGAAGGAAAGAGCGAATGCAAATCTAATTAACAAAAATATTAGGAACAGGACAATATGCTGCTTATGAGATCAGTACTGTAGGAATAGTGGCATGAATAGGGCTGGGACCTCGAGACACTTGGTTGAGCTAGCACTGACAATTCAAGTCACAAGACCCACAAGAGAAAAGGATTAAAGAACGGAAAAGGCTCAGGTTGAATGATGATTCAAAAAGAAAGGTTACAGAGGGTAGAATGGCAAAAAGAAAGAAAGGAACAAGGAATATGTTCAAGGATCTCTGAGATGTCACTGCCACTCAAGTGAGAGACAATAGTAGCATGAAGGATGGAGAAAAGGAAAAAGTCCAGGTGAACATGGTTCAAAAGGGAGCTTCCACTAATGGGGAAAAGTCTGCACACTGAAGATGAAATGTATGCTATATACAGATGAGGAAAGAGAAACCAATATGATGGAGAGTCATTTAGTAATATCATCAATACATCATTTAGTAATATTTTAATGTCAAACTCCAAAAAATGAATAAATACTTTAGGCTTTTTTTATAAAATATACATAATAAGCATATTACATAAATTAAATATTAATATAAACTGCAAATGATATAATTAAAATAGAATACATTTAAATTTTAAAAAATAAATAACTAAAAATGCACACATTATAGATGACTACATTGAGCTGAATCTTGAATTTTTTCATATTTGTCATGCATATGTTAATTTAGATATTTTACATCAAGTTATGACATAAGATAAAACAAATAATGCCCTAAAGTATTTAAATAAAAACATACATTTAGTACTTTTCCTCTATCACTTATGAAATACTTTCATTGGAAGATCAGTTTTTGCCTTAGATTTTGTACATCTCTTGCCTGCTTTTGTTTTTCAGCATTCACTATTTATTTCTATATTTTCTAGGTACAGAGCCCTATGCACTTTCAGCTCCATCAAATAGCAAAATCACAGTTCATATTGCAATATTTAAAGGGCTACTCCAAAGAACATTTAGCATGTGTACACATTATCTAATCATTTTAAACTTTCCAACTTAAAAAAAAAAATCCTAAGTATTTCAATAGACATCAGCTAATTGAATGATACCTAAATGAAAACAAAGTTATTACATGTCTCCACAGAATGCTATGCCTTTTTCTTTCCTCTTCTTTATTTTCATCTACTAAGAATCTATAGAAAAAGTAATTACTTAGATTCATGCTAAACATATGAAAAAATAATAATAATAATAGGCAAATAACTAGCTCTGGAAAATCTCTAGATAAAAATCGATTGTTTCTCTAAAGCAGTCATCCAGGCTGTAGTTATAAATTACGACACAGATACCCAGATTATCTCAGAAATAAGACAAACTTTGAACTTTCTTTAAAAATACAACAAAACAAAACAATCGTTTTTTAAATGGAATCCTTCACACGTAGGTATCGACAGTAAAGAAAAGGCAGGCTCACTAGCCAAGAGAGGAAGACTTGAACCACAAGACGACAAACTACTTCCTCCAGAGTCACTTAAATAGCAGAATTTTGAGAAATGAAAGGATACTCTTAAATCTGAACAGGCAGCAAAATCAACTGGCAAATCCTGGGCTAGGATTCAAGACACTTGGAAAATTTTTTGTCAAAAACTCCATACAGAGACTGTGGCAAACTTCTGACTGCAAACAGGTCACAATTGCATGGCACATCATCTTAATAAAATTGTCATCTTTCCATCTAGTATATGCCAAATTTGTAATTCAGGCATCATAAATGCAGAGCATCTTTTTATATGCCCAGAACTATATAAAGAGTTTCAGAAATATGGTAAGCAAACTATACTGAAATGCCAGAACTTTCATGAACTCCTTGTAAAGACTAAGTCTCTTGCGTTTCTTTCCTTGTTTACATTAACCCCTTAACTGCCGCGGGCGTATATATACGCCTTGCTCAGCCGATGCGTTAACTGCCCCAGGCGTATATATACGTCCTTCCAAACTGCTATCATTTGCTTTGCGCTGCTACACCTAAAATTATTCGCAAAGTTAACGCATCGGCTGCGCATCTGGGGCAGTTAACGCATCGGTTGAGCAAGGCGTATATATACGCCCGCGGCAGTTAAGGGGTTAACTTTTTACTCTTGTTCTTATGTTCATTTGTTCTGGTTCTTACTTTAAATGCTTGCTCTTTTTTATTATATATCATTGTCCTTGTGTAATACTTAAGCTGTTTCATATGTTTGGATTGATCCTTTCAATAAAGCCATATATAACAACAAATAAGCAAATAAAAATTCTTACTACAGTATTTCTTTGCAAAAATATATAATCTTTAAAATACATATCTTTAATTATGCTGAAATTACTTACACAGAAAACAGTTCCGCATTTTGACTCACACAATTAGTACCTCCAATAACATACACACAATTTTCAGAATTGATTTGTTGTTTAAGATTCATAACCTGTAATCAAAACAGAATATTTCATTGAAAATTGCACATATAAATAAAAGTTTTACGATTTTTTAAAAGATACTATAACTTCACAAAGCAATACTACATTGGTGAATTATTTAGAGATACATCAAAAATGAATTTATAGTTAATTCTAAACATTCTAAGTGAGACAGTAAGTAAAACTTCACACTTACAAGAAAAAATTTTCTTTCAAAATTCTTACAAAAAGATTTTTTTGCTAAATATAAAGCATTTTCACGAGTAGCTACTTTTTTCACTGTACTTTTACAGCAAGTAAATTTTTAATGAAATTCTAAAATAAACTTAATAATTTTAATATTATTCACATTAAACGTATACTTTAAACTAAAAATAAAGCATTTTCTTAAATAGTATATTCCTCTTTCTTTCAATTAAACATTTTTTCCCTAAAGTCGGACTTATTTAGATTAACATACTTAAAAAGCAAGACATCTGAAGAAAATGAGTATTCAAAAGCTTCTGCTCTTTTACAGAACCTTCCATGCTGATTATCACCACAATATTTTTCTAGACAACTGTTCATTCCAAATGCACACCTTCATGCTGGATGCAGCCTCTTCATTGTTCAGTATCTGTTTATAGTCTGACAACTAAGAAGCGTGTTTGTGCATTATTATTAAAATTAAGTGATGATCAGGAATGATGATGTGGGATGATAATCAGGAAATTTCACGACTTTTAAACAATGATCAGTGATCTTTATTTATTGTGTAAAATTTAATCAATTTTTAAAAAAATGTAATTTGTTACATTAAGTTGTTCACTTGAATAATATTTGCTAATGGATAATTCCAGGTATATGCAAAAGTGTAAACACTTTTTAATGAAAGAAATCTATTCTACCAATATTTCTGTTCTTAAATAACTGCATAATACTTGAAGGATAGAGTATTCTATGGTTGTGATATCCTGAAGAACAGGGGAAGCAGTATAAGCTTCTGAACTCCTGTAAATTCCGTCATTCCTGACAGAAATGTGTATGTCATGCACTCGCATGATACAAAATGCTCCATGACAATTCGACCATGATGGATGATTTTTCTGTGTTGGGAGAATGGGAAGGGATGTAATCTCCGTTCTTGGTGAGCACTGCAAATATTCCTGGTCTACAAAGAGTCACTTCCGATTTCCTTGTAGCACTGCTTCTGATATCCTTTGTAGAAGATCCATTTCTTATTATCCCTTATTATTTCATGAGAATCTGGATGAATTTTGCCAAGGAAATTTTGAAACATCAATTCTCCTGTTCCTATCATTTTCTAATACATCATGTGGAACAAAGTACTTAACTTTGCCCCAAATCCACAGACATAAATCTGATATTCCAATTTTGTACTTCAGATACTAAACTTCCTGTTAATTCTGCTACAGTTATCTTGTCACTGCTCTCCAATGGCTTCTATCTCGTCATAATCTGGTGGTCTTTAGGTTTCCCTGATTTTTGCTTGTCCTTAAGCTGCCTCTCGCCATAACAAAAGTGTAGAAACCAATACCTATATGTACATTCTGATACAGCATTATCATCATACATGCCACATTTCCTTTGGGTGTATTTCTTCTACACTATCATCAAAAAAACCGAATTTAAGGAGCAAGGTTTACCATCTCAGCAAAACTTCTATGAATCTCATTATGGTTACGTACTACTCAACAATGACTTTTTCTTGCACCACCCAATATTTAACTAAGCACTGGATTCTCACCTGCATATTTAATCCAAGATCAGATTTTATCCAGCATTAAGGTTTCCTTCAAAAACATAAAAAAAGGCACATGCAGATACCATCAAGTTTTCAAAATAAAGGGTCTCTTTGCATAATTTATTATAATCTCTAATTTATTAGACAAAGCTGTATTATCATACATGGTAGTCTTCCTGGAAAAATGGATTGTTAATTCATGAAAAAAAAAATGGATGTTCCAAGTGATCAATTATAAAACATAACTTTTGCCATAATGTGCATATATCCTAATTTATTCCCTTTAATTTCTTTTGAAAATTAGTGGACTTCAAAAATTAAAACTCTGCAAGTCTATTTATGATGTAGCTCTTGAAATATAAATTGACAGTCATTTGTGTTTGCCATTTAGCTATCAGCACAGTAAATACAATAAGCTGCAACATCTCTTTTGGGGGAAGGGGAATAACTGAAATTATAACATAAAGCCCTTACTTAAGAATAGAGTTTTATTCAAACAGCCACAGCAGTTGCGAATAAATATGAGAAAGCAAGAAAGCATGAATAAGCATGGAAAAAAAATTTGAAACTGAGAATGTAATATCAAAAACATACTATGAATACCTTAACACTCCTTACATTCTAAGTTTCAACTGATACTGAGATCAATCAATCTAACCCCGAAAATATACATTTTAGGTGAAAGTTCATCTCCAAATGATCTCTGCTGGGTTAATATAAGGAAAGAGGAAAATCACAATTTCCTCCTTCCTTGTACATAATATATGTTCCTGTAAAATGAATGCCATTTCCTGCATTAAGAAATTTTAATTCTAAAAGTTTTAGACACTGGTGCAATAATAAAATCTACAAGAAAATGAAATATATATATAAGAATGGTCAGACAAATGAAATAAGAAAAACTGAGTCATGTCAATAAGCCGAAATCACATATAAAAAACACAGGACACATTCAAGTTTCAAAATTCACACGAGGCTTTGATGTGTTTACTAAATAAACTTCTAAGAACACTTACTGAAACATTTTTAATTAACTGTCATTAATTTTAATGTCAAACTTTTAGGCATGCCTACTTAAAAGAGTACATTGATGCATAGGAAAAGATACAAAGATATTTGCTATAGTTTTAAAAAAAATGTAATGAATTTTTTAACATGTTTGCTTATTTATTAACCTTGTCGCAGAACTTATGCTAATACAATGTCATCTTCCCACCGCACGAGCATGCACAGCGTGCATCAGATAGAATTTAAAATGGGCCATGATTTTGTACAAGTGCTTCTTAGTTTGCTTCTGCAGAGGAACTTCCAATGATGTCCAACTAACTACTGTTTCATCTGGTTGCATTTATTTTCTATCGCCAAATGGGCAATGCATCTGTATAAGGAAAGCTGCTCATCCTGAATAAAGGAATTTTAATTGCTTACCCAAGTGTCATTATTTGGAGTCACATGGAAAGGTAATTTTCACTATAAAAGTGTGCTGACCCAGACACGATGATTGACATGGGAAGCTACGAAGCAATGGAAGTTGAAAAGTGAGTGAGTAGCTAACTCTTTAATTCCTTTACAAGTAGTAAGGCATTGTATTGAAATTAGTTGAAATTTAAAAAATAATTTGAAAGTCGTTTGCTTAGACTGTTAAAATTATTGAAACAAAATGATAGATTTGAATGAAAAAATTCTGCTATGGAACGAGAAAAACAGAAATGGGTAGTTGTTAAACAGTTAACAACTAAGTAAATTTAAAAAATAGAAATGAATTAAATGAGCTGTTAACAAATACATTTACTAGAAGAATTATGTGATCTGTCTAATTCACTAAAAGAAAAAGGTTAATTCACTAAAAGTTTTACACTAAAATTCTAGAAACTGAGAATCATATAGATTTAAATGAATTAGAACAGGAAGTTATACATAGCCAATATTATCAAGAAGAAGTCGCCAAATGGCTAGGGAGAGTTATATTCAGGTAGTGATCGGAGTGTTAATACTTCACAGAACGTAACTTCTGAAAGATTTGCTAGAAATACGGTGAAATTGCCCAAGTAAGAAATATACAAATTTTATGGGGACCTTAGTACTTGGCTAGACTTTTGGCATAGTTTTCGAAGTAGCAGTACATAATAATGAAACATTAACAAAGGTAAAAAAATTCAGCTAATTAAAATCTTATTTGTCAGGAAAGGCTCTTACTGAGGTTTCAGGATTTTCTTCAAGTAGTGAGAACTATGACTGTTCCATAGCATTGCTTAATGAGCGGTTTGGTCGAACGGACCTTATCATAAGCTGTCAGCTATCGATCCAGCAAGAAATTCAACAATAAGTGCTAAGTACAATTAAAAAAGCTTACAAACTCTTAATGTCACCATGGGTGTGTATGGAAATAAATTATATCTTTTGATTTTACAAAAATTGCCGAAAGATATGAACATTGAATACAACAGAAGACGTAAACCAACGCTAGAGTTTATAATAAATGAACTTATGATTTTTAAGGAAGGAAGTGGAATGCAGAGAAGCATTTAGCTTGTTAATGTTTTCTAATAATAGAGACATTAATAACAGAGTTGGGAGAAAACCTTCGAACAAGATTGTGCTACCAAAAGATAATACTGGAAATACAAGTGCATTGACAAATTCACTCCAAGAAAAATTTTTGTAGAGTTATAGGACATGAGGCAGAAAACTGCCCATGTCTCAACCATTCTGGATAGGAAACGAGAGGAAAATTTTCAAGGATTATGTTTCCATTGCTAAACAGTGCTTTAGCTAAACAGTGTTGCCAAAAAACATGTGTAATATATGCAAGAGGCCACATAATTATTTAATTTCCCATGGGCAAGTTAAGAAAAACTATCACACCTGAATTTGAGAATACATCAACTTCAGTTTCTCACTTAAACTACTCACGAAAGGAAATATTTTACTACAGACTGGTGGTAGTGTTTTAAAGGCAGGTGAAAACCAGAAGTTAGTAAGAATTCTGTACGATTCTGGATCTAAACGTTGCTTTGTCAAAAAGTTAATTGCCGATATTTTAGCACTAGAAGTAGTTGAAGAAGAATGTATTAAAATATATGGATTTTGGGTGAAAGTTTATCTTCCCCAATTAACGACGTAGTTCATTTGAATCTGCATGACAGAATTAATCCAGTGTGATATATTACCATTGAAGCACTTATTACAAAGAAAATCACAAATGGACAAATAGCAGTTCCTACTAACTGAGTAAAGCCAGTGGTGATTGTCAAAGGATTTCAA